TCAACCTTCTGGCCCTTTAAATACAGTTCCTCATGTTGTGACCCAACCATAAAATTATTTTCGTTGCTACTTCATAACTGTAATGTTACTACTGTTATGAATCGTAATGTAAATATCTGATATGCAAGATGGTCTTAGGCAACCCCTGTGAAAGGGTCGTTCAACCGCCAAAGGGGTCGCGACCCACAGGTTGAGAACCACTGCCCTGGCTGGAAGCGATTCTGCCTCCTGACCCCCCTGCCTCTGGCTCCCCATCCCCTCATTCACTCAGGCCTTCCCGGCCCCTCCCCTGTGAGCCCTAATAGCATGGGGGCCCATCATGCCCCTTACCTCAAGCCCAGCCCTTAGCTCTCTCTGTTCACCTGTCTTCCCCTGTCAGTAGCTTTATTTCTCTTTCCTGCAGCCTCTGTTGCTCAGGGTCAGCCTCATTGCCCTGTACTTTGGACCACCCTTCTCACCAGTTTCCTCTTTGAGTCAGCTTTAGAGTGTCCCTAAAGACATCTGTGATCCTCGACATGTGGCCGGGTGGGCGTGTCAGGAAACTGGGTTTCCCTTCCCAACACCAGAGGTCCGAGGCTCCCCAGGGGCCGGGGTCTGCTGGCCTGTCCATGGGACAGAGTTGTCGAGAGGGTTGTGCTTGGTGAGCGTGAGCAGCAGCAGCAGTGCCCAGGCAGGGGAACGAAGCAGAAGGCTGTTGCAGCCGAGAGGGGGGTGAGGGGAAGGCCACTGCTGCCTGGCAGCACCCTCCCCCCTGCCCGAGGGCCTGGTCAGGGAGGGTGGCAGATGGGGCAGGAAGCTGGCACCTGGCAGAATCGCCCCGGCTTCCTTTTTCCAAACCACATGCCAGGTGCCGATGAGGATGACCTGCTCTCTTCCATCCAGGCGTCACCTGTTTATGGGAGACAGCCACAGGGATGGCTGACAGTGGCTTCCCCTCCTTGCGCACTTTTTCTCTGTTTGGCACTGTTCTAAGCATTTCATGTGTGTTAACTCATGTAAACCCCCACCACAATCTTAGGAGTTGTGTGCTGCCATCATGCCCATTGTACACATGTGAAAACTGAGGCTCAGGAGATTTAAGAACCTTGCCCAAGGTAACAGCAGGTTGGTGGGAAGCTGGATGTGAACCCTGGTGGTCCTACTCCAGAGACCCTGCCCTTACTGCTCATCAGTATAAGACAGCACAGGGATGGGTGCACCTGAGGGTGTTCAGGATGCTGCAGCAAGCAGGGAGGGTTTCACAGAGGAGGTGGCACCCGAACCTGGGCTTGTGGGTAGAGTTCAAGTTCACCAGCAATAGAGGGCCTTCAGCTCTGGGCTGGGGCTTGGATGATGCCAGGGGCCTGGGATGGGTCAGGCGAGTGGGCTGGCCATCAGTGGCAGGGACGATGGAGTGACAGGCACCTCCCGTTCGTCCGCACTCCCTCCACTCAGGATGCTCCCTCTCCTGCCTGGTTGCAAGTGACAGCTTGAATCTTCGAGCATCTCCCTGCTCGACACCCCCTGTTGATTTGTCCTTCATCCTGCAGCTGGGAGGGCAACTCTGACACACCTCCGCCCTGCTTCCAGCCCTTCCCTGGCTCCCCACTGCTCTCAGCCCGCATGGCTGTGCCAGTCCTCTGCCGCCTTGTCTCCAGGCATGCCCTCCCTGCGTGCCGTGTTCTGGTGGCACTGGTCTGCTGAGCTTGCAGGTGCTGTCTGCTCTTCTGGCTGCTGGGCCTGTGCTCCCCACCGTTCCCTTTGCCAGGAGTACTCTCCCTGCTTCTTCACCCAACACCTACTCATCCCTCATCTCCGCTGAGGTAACGCCATTCGGGAAGCGCTCCCTGAGCCCAGGCTGGGGGGGTGTTTGTACTGTCACTGCCTGGGCTCTCCTTCGCAGCAGCACATTGTTTACCATCCCCTCCCCACCTGAGCAGTAACCAGACCCTGTGCATCTCGGGGCGTGCAACTGAGGAGGCTGAGCGAGCCTAACTGGCCTGAGGGAATCGGGCAGTGGGAAGGAGAGGGGAGGCCAGTGTTCCTGCCCTCAAGGGCCCCTAGCGTGTGTGGGAGCTTGGAGGGAGCCGGGAAGATCCAGGTCCTCAGAGGACCCATCAGCACCACAGTGCTGTCCTCAGGGGGCCCCCAGGGTCAGAGAAGCTCCGTGAGGTGGGCGCCCAGGCTCTGGACTGCACCTGAGATTAGACCAGTGATGGCGAACCTGTGACACGCGTGTCAGAGGTGACACTCGAACTCATTTTTTTGGTTGATTTTTCTTTGTTAAATGGCATTTAAGTATATAAAATAAATATCAAAAATATAAGTCTTTGTTTTACTATGGTTGCAAATATCAAAAAATTTCTATATGTGACACGGCAGCAGAGTTAGGTTAGGGTTTTTCAAAATGCTGACACGCCGAGCTCAAAAGGTTCGCCATCACTGGGTTAGAGGCTGCCCTCACGGAGCCTCTACCAGGTTTCCCATCACCCCGCTCTCACCACACTAGCTCAGAGGGGTCACTGTCACACGGCCAGGAAAGTCACTGGCAAAGTCAGATTCCAACCCAACCCGAACCCCTCTCTCCTTCCTGCCTCTGCTTAGCCCAGGAACTAGAAGCTCAGAGGTCTGAATAGTCCCGTTCTGTTGGTTTTTGTTTGTTTTGGGTACTGGTTACGTGAGTTCTTCAAACTATATATACGTAATGATTCCTACAATTTTTATACGTATGTTATGCTCCAAGTCGGCCGGCAGCAGAGCTTTCCTTTAGTGGCCCTGAGGCCGAACGCCACAGCCAAGCCAGAAGCACAGAAAGAGCCAGCCCTGGTCCCTCGGCTCTGTGCAGCCCGAGCCACCTCCACCTTTCCCTGAGAGAGAGACCCTCTCTTGGTCCCGGCGCAGCTGCTGGGAGCTCTGATCTGCATGGCTAGCAGGAGGCCAGGAACCTTGCCTGTCAGAGCAGCTGCCCTGTCCCCAGGCCTAGCACAGTGCTAGGCACAGAGTGACCACCCAGTAAATACTGGTAAACCAACAAGTTAAATGACGCCGTAAACAGATGAACGCCAGTTATGCTCCCAGGGTGATGGTGTGGACAGCCTTGGAGAGATGCTGGGAGACCCACAGTCATGGGGAGAAAACACTCCCCCCACGGTGACAGGTACAGTGGCCCCCAAGAGGCAGTGAGGAACAAAGGAGCCTGAGTTCTCCTGCCTCTGCTCCTACCTCATTGTGTGCCCACCCCCGAATGTCCCTCCTCCCTGTGCCTCCCCTGTTGTCGTAGGGTAACTACCTACCTACAGGCTGACGGTGGGGTGCTGTGTCCAGCGTGAGCAAGCGCCTGACTTGTGGTAGGGCTAGGGGAAGATTGCCTTCCCATCCCCGCTGCCTCAGTTTCCTCATTTGGCGGGGATAGCTGTGTGTGAACTCGGAGGACCCCCAGTAGTCACCCCCACTGTTTCTCATCATCCCAGGAGAACTCCCCGGAGCAGCTTCCTTGGAGTTACCGGGAGAAGACCCGCTTTGGCCGCCTGGGCCAGGACCTGATTGAAGAGCTGGTTGGCTCCTGCCGGAGAAAGCCGTTTGCGTTGGTCTGTGGCTCGACCGAGTTTACCGAGGACATGGCCAAGGGCCTGCTGCGTGCGGGCCTGGCCGAGGACTCCTACTTCCTCTTCTAGGCCTGGCCTCCCTTAAGCCCAGGCCAGGGGCCTGCCAGTGAGACCCAGGGAGGAACACAGACTGGGACCAGAAAACGCGGCAGAAGACCACAGCTGACTCGCCCCGTGATGGCGGGGGCTGTCTGTACCTCCACGCACCTGTTTCTCATCTGCTACCTCCCTCAGCAGGCATCCTGCGGT